GCTCAAAACTCTACCGTGACTTCTCATTATTTATAATAAAAGCCAAGTGCTAACCACAGCCTACAAGGCCCTGGGTAACCCCGTTCCTAGACACCCCTCGGGTATGATCTCCTAAGACTCTTCCCTTGACTTCTTATCCAGTCACACTGGCTTCACCGAAAACACCAAGCACACTCCTGCCTCCGGGGTAGACCTTCGCTTAGTGAAGTCTTCCCTAAGCTATCCGTATGGCTTTCTCCCTTTCTTCCTTCAGGGCTGTACTCAAAATGTTACCTCCTTGAAGGTCTTCTCTGACCACCCTACTCCCTGGGTGGCGCAAATAGTTAACGTGCTTGGTTACTAACCAAAATGTTGGTGGTTCAAATCCACCCAGAGTGTGTCAGAATATAAGGCTTGGAGATCTACTTCTTAAAAACTCAGACAGCGAAAACCCTATGGAGTGCAGTTCTACTCTGAAACACATGGGATCGCTGTGAGTTGGAGGTGACTTGACAACTGGTTTTATTTTTGTTTCCTTCAGGGCTCTATTCAAAATGTTATCTCCTTGAAGAAGTCTTCTCTGACCACCCTATGTAAAAATAGCACACATTCTGTCTCCGGCACCTTATTCATTATTTTGATTCCTATAGCTACCTAGGAAACCCTGGTGGTGTAGTGGTTAAGAGCTATGTCTGCTAATTGAAAAGTCAGCAGTTCGAATCCAACAAGTGCTCCTTGGAAATCCTATGGGGCAGTTCTACTCTGTCCTATAAGGTCACTATGAGTCAGAATCGACTTGATGACAATGAGTATGGTGTTTTTTTTTTTTTTTTTTGGTTGTTTATAGCTACCTAAACTAATATTACGTATCTATTTATTCTGTCTATTGTTTCTCTCTCTCACTAGAATGTCAAGTCCAGGAGATTAGAGACTTTGTTCATTTTGGTCACTTTTATATTCCCAGCACCAGAACAGTACCCGTTTCACCAATGTACTGTAAGGTTGAATGTGAATAAATCTAACTACAAACAATCCCAGTATTTACGTTCTAAGAAACATTTAGAAGGATTAAGAAATATTGTGGAGGTAGAAGGAGTTGTATGTGGTGGGTAAGGGAGGGGGCGAATTCCAGGATTCCCTAGTTTTTGGCAGGAGCACGCAGGTGAGTGGAGGTGTCATTTACTGAGAAGAAGACCTAAGAAGTAGATTTGTAAGGAAGGTCAAATTTAGTTTTGGACGTCTTAAGCTTGAGATGCCTGTGGAGATGCTAAGTGGAGATGTCAATCAGGTTGGATATGTAGATCCAGATTGAGATGATTAAATTTCTTTACTGTTTGAATCCTTTTTGAGCTACGTTTTCTGTTAATTGTTTCCAAGGCTGTAACCTTTATGGAAGCAGACTGCCACATCTTTCTCCTGCGGAGCAGCTAGTGGGTTTGAACTGACCTTCAGTTAGCGGCTGAATGCTTAACCAGTGCATCACCAGGCTTCCTTATTCATAGTAATATGGCTTCTGTTTTCTCTAACTGAGCTTCAGGACAACCACAAATGTTGGGGAATGTTTGCTGGATGGTCATCTTCCCTAAAATTGCAAGCTAATTGTTCATTAACAAATTGCTTAAATCCTACCAAGGGTGCTGTGAGAGTAGGTGGGTCCAGACTGTTTAACGGTTATAGAAGAGGCTGTTACATACACTATAGAAAATGGGTTCTTCCTGCTGTTTTTTGCTGACTGCAATGCATATTCCATTTTTTAAAATTTGAACATAAAGTACTCTTGCCCACTTTGTAAAGTATAAGTTTAAACCATCTAGCAGATTAAAACTATGACTCCTTGATTTAGGTGTATGCCTCTTGTCCTAGGTAAAATAGATTCCAGTTCTAATCTCAAAGGAACTTTTTACCTTTCCTAAGCACTCTAGTTTTGTCTTCAGATTATGTCACAAAGGCTGAATTCAGTGAAGAATCAGTATTTCACCGTATTATCTGAAACATAGAGAACCACCGAAAATAAAGGAATTTTCGATGTGCTGGAATCCAGTGGAAATTGAGAGGGGTATTGCTTCCTTCCGAGTGGTTTGGGCCTATTCAATGTACTGTTCCAACGTAGCATCTGCAGTCACTTAAAATATTAAAATTCTTACTCAGTAATGTGGAATGAAAAGCTGCTTTTTTTTGTCCTTCTAATGTTACTTTCAGGACTAAGGAGTGCCTGACCCAAGCCACGGTATTTTCAATTGCCTCATATGCATGCAGAAGCTGGACAATATGGAAGCCTGAAGAATTGATGTCTTTAAAGTATGGTGTTGGTGAAGAATATTAAATATACTATGCACTGCCAGAAGAACAAACAAATCTGTCTTGGAAGAAGTACAGCCAGCATGATCCTTCGAAGCGAGAACGGTGAGATTTCGTCTCACATACTTTGGACATGTTATCAGGAGGGACCAGAACCTGGAGGACATCATGCTTGGCAGAGGGTCAGTGAAAAAGAGGAAGATCATCAGCAAGGTGGATTGGCACAGTGGCTGCAATGATGATCTCAAATATAGCAACGATTGTGAGGATGGACTAGGACAGGGAAGCATTTCGTTCTGTTGTATGTAGGGTCTCTTTGAGTAGGAATAGATTTGACAGCACGTGACAATAAACTAAAGAATTTCAAGCATCAGCAAGTATGTTTGGGGAAATGTCTTCATGCCAGAGATGATGTAGGATGGTGGGGAGCAGGGCTTTCTAAGTCCCTGGAGCACACCTAGCTTGCCTAAAACGCTCCAATCCTAGCTAGCTGGAAATGTCCAGTGACTTGTCTCTTAATAATTCAGTCCACAATCATTGAGGTCCCTGGGTGGTGCAAGCAGTTCATTCTCAACTACTAACTAAAAGGTTAATGGTTTGAATCCACCCAGTGTAGCAACTACTTCTCTAAGACTACATTCATTGAAAACCCTGTGGAGCACAGTTTACTGTGAAACACATGGGGTCAACATAAGTTGGAACTGACTTTGTGGCAAGGTTTTTTTTTTTTTTTTAAATTACATGTATGTGCATGTGGTAGGAAGGAGATACACACAAAACATGACCTTTGCTCTCCAGGTCTAGTACAATTGGACATTTAGAATAATGGAAGTATGGATAGAAGGCTGTGAGAAGAGGTAATTCTGTCCCAGGGAGTCTGAGAAGGCGTCACAAAAGTAGTAACATTTTATTGGGGTTTTGAAGGATGGGTTTTCCAAGCAACAAAGAGAAACATGAAAAGTACTAGAGTTAAAGTTAAATGAGTGCTAAGACGAATGTTGGTTAAGTGTAACGGCATAGGATGCAGAGGTTTGGACCATAATATGAATGGCTGTGAGTGATAATGACATCACACAGACTCACACAACATATAGTAAGGTTGTTAGTTTAAAATTATTTCTAGGCTATCTAGGATTTTTTACATAAATTCCCAGAAGTCCAGAAACTAATGGGCCACATGTGAATTGAAATGCTGCTTTCGGGAAAATCACTATTACTAAAAGGTGGGCATGTCCAGTGGACTTAAGGTCAAAAGTAATCAGTCATTCTTTCTTGAAGCCAGAAAAAAGTCAAAAAACCTCCTTTCAGTCAGACCCTCTTCTTAGTTGTTTCAAATTTGTAATACATGGTTTGAGCACAATACCCCTTTCTCCTTGGCTGATACCTGGCAGGTGGAGACATAAATGAAGTCATTGCCATTTGATCTCAAACTTTTTCCGTGCGATTTGTTTAATACAGAAATTCAGTAAGATTATATTTTTAAGATGTTTTCAGAATTTGATCTGTATTCTTGAGTTTTAATTATTCTGCAATCCAAACTGATTAAAAACTTCATTAATCAAAACAAACTTATTTTCAATCTTCCTTTGAGATTTTGCACAGTGTTCAATTAATACAAATTCATTTAAATACACAATGGAATAGTTACAATATCTGGAAAATAATTACATTCTTCAGAGTTCTTTGGTATATTCTGCAAACTTCACTTTGTCTTCCCACTCCGCGACACATACTAAACAAGCAAATAATTATTTGCT